AAATATTTTTTATCAAATATCATTTTTATACAAATATCATAATCCATTCACTAACAACAAGATAATGAATCTATAAAATATGAAATATAAGAAAAAGATTTTAAATTCTTCACTTTTTAATATATTTCATTTATATAGATATATATGTATATAGTATATTTTTCCTAGATTCAATATAAATTAAAATAAATGTTGATTTAACTTACGGGTACGACGCGCAGCAGCGGAGTTGTAACATAAATGCCAATCTGAAAAACGCAAATAAATTTAAATTATATTAGTGCTCAAATAATGAATATTTCAAAATTAATTACAAAGTAATAAACAGGAGCATAAAAGTTGAGCTGGATCTAAGTGCTTAATAATATTTATATGATGATTGTCAGTCAAAATTAATTACTGTGCAAATAAAATCTTAATATATTTTTTAAATAAAAAATAATTATAATTTTTAAAAAGCTAAATTTCTACAAAAACAATTTTTTTTTAATTTAATAAGTAATAATCTGATTTTTATATATAAAAAAAGGAAATTGTCATAAAAACACTTGACTATATAAATATATTAATTGATAAACATATATATGTGTATATTTTTATTGATTAGTATTAACATTAATAAATATACATATTTGCAGATTATCTCCATTTCTTAATACATCATAAAATGCCGACGTTTCATGAACATTGTGGTTTATTTCATTTTGAGAGCGAGAAGCAATCTGATATTCAGTATCAGATTGCTTTATGTCCTGATAAGTAACGTGAACTGCAATGTTCATGAAACGTTAATATTTAATGATCAAGACACGGAGATAACTAGCGTAGTCTTTTTTGAGAAAATCAGATTATTATTTATAAATTTTTAAAAGGTTTGTTTCTGCAGAAATAAGTCCTTTTTAAAAATTAAAATTATTTTTTATTAAATATTTCTATTTCGCATAATTAAAGTCACTAACATGTTTAAGAATGTTTTTTTATTGCACAATGTCAACTAAAAGAATCTATAAAAAAATCTATAAAAAAATTTTGTTATAGATACACAATGAAATTCAATTATAAGAAGCAGAACAACAAATTATTTAGCTTTTAATGACTTATGCAGCACAATAATTACCATATTTTGCTACAATTTTAGGTAAATAACTTTAAAACAAGTAAGTAAATCCGAGTAAAGTTTTGCATGAATATTCAGTAGTTTCATTAATACATATAAAAAAATTTAATTTAATTCGTAATGTTACTTCTTCATTAAATTTGCAAATAAGAGCCAGGCAAATAAAATAATTGAAATAACTTTGTAAACCAAGAGAATTGTACTCAAATTTTATATAGATATTCCCGTAATACAACAGAACGATCTATGAATTTTTATATTTTTGGTAGTGCTTTCAGTTGTGACACATACATCTTTAAAATCGATTCGGAACAACCAAGCAAGAACAACAAACACGAATGAACAATTCGCTCCAATGAATGCGAACAGTATCACCGCACCAGCAGTGCTATTCGAATTAATTGAAGCGAGTTGTTTATTCGTGTTTGTTCACGCTTGCTTGCTTAATTTGGAACTGGTTTAAGATGCACGCATACATATAAATTTGTACAACACAATGAATACATAATATTGAGTGTGTATTGGTGCATGGAATATATCACGCGACTATCGCGGGAACTGCAATGGTTAATTACGCAAGTAACAAGTAGAATGAATGATCAAGTTGCTCACCTGGTGGTTGCTCCGCCGATGCCCGATGCCACCACCCAGGCCTGTTCCTCCTCTCATGCTTTCGGTCGCTTCTTCATGGCACTCACACATTCAACACTCGTTCGCGAAACACGACTAATTACGATTATCGATTAGAATCGATTAAAGATCGATCGCGAGATACTTTACACGGCACTCCCGAGGTTAGCTCAACTTGCTCGAAAAAATATGAATCAGGCGATAATCATCAAAATACGACACTCGCACGAAACTTTGTACGGCACTCCCGTTAATCAAACGTATTTCGATTCAACGCGTCACAAGCTTACTTTATTGCGTTTCGACAGAGGAATAAAGTAAAGAAACTGTACGAATGTGGAGGATGCTATAATGTGCGCGGGCGCCGTTTATTTACTGACGGATGGATTACGTGGCTGCCCTTTGGTTTTCTATTCGCGAAAGGAGATTTTCGTGACTTTTTATTATTTCTTAATCCGCGAGATATCGCTAATCATGATGTAAGAATATTAAAGTAGAACATTTGCGTAAATGTATAAAATTTATAAGCCAATATAAAGCTGCTATTAGAAATTTCCCACTAATTAAGTCCGAAATTATATTCAGCTGTTAGGTATTATGTTACATTCTTACATCATGCTAATTATGATCGCATCAATTAATAAAGTGCCGACATCGTAGTCGTATATCGAGATTAAGGCTGCGTTCAATTTCGTATTCACAACGTTTGTATCATTTGTCCTCGTTTAATATTTGTTAAACAACGAGGACGAAAAGATTAACGGTGTGTGCACTGAAGCGAACGCAGCCCTAATCTCGATACTGCCGAGATTACCTGAACTTACTTGTGAAAACATGGTTACGATCTCGCGCGATGAGCATGAAAAATAGGTACGATACTCGTCTAGAACTTTACACGACACTCCCGACATCAATCGCACATATTACACATGCGACGTGTGCTGTATTACGTTTTGACAGAGGAAGAACACGAATAAAGTACGAGCGGACGAACGAATAAAGTACGATACGTTTATCCTTCACGCGTTGCGAGTTGCGAGGCAAAGTGAGGCAAAGCGAAGTGGGGGAGGTGCTGCAAATGGCGGAATTCGTAAAACGCGCGGTCAACTTCACGCGGTACATCGCCGGGTCGCGACCGATGCACTTTCATGCCCCTTCTATACTTTAAATAATTGTACACACCACATTTTACAGCGATTACTATTTCATTTTAAACAGAACAAAAATCATCATGATATGAAAATGATATCAAAATAATTGTTAAAAATTATTTTTCAATCAATAACTTTAATAACGATTTACTTTAACGTTGTTTTGATGTTCAGAGGATGTTATCAGCAAATAAATGTAGATAAAGATTAAAAATGCCTACGGAATGCAATATTTGAAGAAATGATTACTTTACCGACTTAACAATTAGCATGCTGTATTATAGATTTTCATTGAGCATATACATGTACATATATATGTCTCGAAATATGAAATTTAATAAAGCTTTGATATACGAATACCGAATTTCTGTTAAGCGGTTGATAAATATAGGAATACGACATTAATTATGTTGTTATATATTTGAACTCACTGATTAAACGCATCGCGACGCTGCTCGATTTGAAGTCAATCCATTCCGATGTCGCGATATTTTGTTAATAATCAAAAACCTCAATGATTCGCGTCAACGACTTTATTCTGATACCGCAAAGTATCACGCGAGTCAATTCAATTAAGAGCAATCGAATACTTTATAAATATACAATCAGAATTAAATATTATACGTACGATAAATTAAATATTATTACGTACGATTAATTAAATATCATACGTTTCGAAATAAATGCGTGTAAATACATATTAATAATCAATCGATATATCGCAGGATAAATTACTTCGTACAGCGAATCGTATTTTATGCTCCGCATTATCTGCGATCTTCAAGCACTTAGAGAATAATAGTTCTTACATACTCGTATATTCTTGTCGCGATCA